AAGTGCCGCCACCGCGTCTTACCCAGTCACCGCTAATGGCGTCAGCATGCAATGACACCTTTAAACTAATAAGCATAACACAAGCAACAATTACCGTGTGCACCCAAGTAAGTGGAAGAAGTGTGTAGTCACTGGAAGCAAAAGATAATTGTCTGGATCATCACACGAGCGTAAGACCCCCGAACATGAGTTACGAATAAGTTCATATTATTCAGCTTAATTTGGGATTTTGGGGCTTGGAAATGGGAAAACGTGTTTGCACATTCGGCAGGAAAATCAGTGTTGTAGTTAGTGCAGCACATTCCTCTCAGAATCACATATTTACCTCACAACTCATTAAAACAAACAGGCTTTTCTTGTTGTTTATGACTGCCCGTTTGTTCTCGCGTGCGTCGTGGAAGTACGAGCTTGAATTGTTTGCAAGAAGAATAGAACTTTTTTTTTTTTAGGCGGGGCAACATTTACGCAGATCCAATATCTGACTCTTTCACAGTTTCCAACAGAGCCGTACCGTGGATTCAAACACGCTGCAATGCCTTTACAGTACCAACTGCTCTGCACAGTATGTGTCACAAAAACATATTTTCTCGTAAAATCCGGAGCAATAGAGGCGGTGGAATAAGTAATGTTGCAACTTGCTATAAGGTGTTAATTGTGCAATCTGTTCAAGTAAACATAAAAATAGTGCAACACAGAGCAAAGCAACTTATGGATTAGAAGGGGTTTTATTTATCACACGGACCAACACCATACAACAATTAAATCTAAGCGATCTGATGCTTTAAAGCCACGTTCACATTAATTGGTGAGATTCGTCCTGTTTATTTATTAGATTACAGTAACGTCTTGACACATGACATATGTTTCTATAAATACATTCAGCATGCTACACTACAGATGGATTGAGCAGTATAAATACTGGGAAGGATCAAGACTTAGACACAGAAGCAGAGATCTTTTTGCAGGGTTCAGATCTTTACGGAAAACCACCTTCTTTACAGCTTCTTTACAAAACAAAACAGTACAGGCACCAGCGGACTGAACAAGCTAGAAGGAGAAAAAGAAAAAAGGGGAACGTTTGGGCCTTAAGAACAGGCGGGGCTGATGATTACTGAACTCAGGTGTGGAGGGAAAAAGGGCGGAAAACTAAACAAAGGCAGGAAATGGAAGTGGTTTAGGAGGGAGGGTATAAAAAAGGAAGTGGCAATAAGTCGCTCATGCAGGTTGTCAAAACTACAGAAGGAGGGATGTATTTTATGCTTTATTTGGCTGATTGTTTTAACTTCACATCTTTTTGGAAAGCAAGCAACTCGATATAAAGGTTTAAACTATGGTTTCTTTGTTAGTATGGTCACCTGTTCTATTTTTTATTGCTTTTTTATAAATCTGCATATCAGTCATATTTTTGTTTGGTGGAGTTGAAGATTAAGAAAGATTAAGCTGCTACCCTGTAGGTAATTATTTAACGATGTTAATTCCCTAATGGACACGCAAATACTGAAGTGAATAATTAACTAACCCTTCACGTCTCATGTAAAATGGTTTGGTAAATTGGTGTATTTTGTCGACTCATAACTAGCCCTAAAAAATAAGTCTGGAAATTCATTACACGGCAGATCGTCCCCGCTGAGACCACATCCTGAAAGGTAGCAGGCTGTTTTTGGCTCACATTAAGTCTGAGCGCCATGATCCATGGGAGCCGCCAGAGGCGTCCATGGGCGGAGCGCTTAACCAGCCACGCGACTGCAGCACAGCACGTGTGGAGGGTTAAGACACGAGGGCCGCTGCCAGACCCAAGTCTTTAGCTCCTCCGAGCCATCAGCTGGCAAATTGTTGAGTAAAACTAAGAGAGAGTGTGTGTGTGTGTATGTGCAGGGGTGTGTGTGCACACACAGCGTGCAGTACAGGGGGTGGGGGTTGAGGGGGGGCTCAATTAAAAACCAGCTGTGCCGTTTTCCTCTGTAAGCCCTCCAGTGTCTCCGCCCCCCCCCCCCCCAACCACACAGGCACACACACACACACATGTCCCATCCCCGTCTGCTCCTCCTCTACTATCCCCCCACCACAAACCCCCCACCCCTTTCCCCCCCGCTGCTCTGTAAGCTGCCTGTAAGCTTCTCGACTCATGCCGATGGACCTAATGCCCCCCCCACCCACCACCCCCGGCCGCTTGATGTAATTTCGGCAGACTTGTGTGTGCTAAAAACCAGCCGGCTCCCCCTCTCCTCCCCCCCTGGCCCCACCACTCTCTCCCTCTCCTCCCTGACGTACCTGTTACAGCCTCGCATCATCCCGCTCCCACCACAGCGGGGCCGTTTGCAGCTCTCTAAAGGGACAGGATGAGAGGGGGGAAGAACGAGGGGAGCGGGAACACAAAGTCAAACGCTTTATTTAGGAGAAAGACACACGCACAGTCAGACCCGAGAAAAACAGACTGGAGGGAAAACTTCAAAAAGCCTGTCAATACGGTCTTAAAAGAAGCCGCTCGGCATTGGGAAGCAAAGGTTAGTGTGAGCACAAATTGGCTGACTGTCTGCTTATGGCATCCATTAATCTGAATAGCTGAATAACTACTTGTTAGCTTTTCTTTCATTCTATTTCAAAAATTCTGAACGCATAATCTGTGTATTATATTAGTGCTATAGCGAAAAAAGGCACAGTTAATATAGCCTAATAAGGGTGTATCCAGAGGGCAGCGTTAGTGCTTCGCCAGCTAATCAGTGGTAATTCCATAAGTTCAGGTCCTCTAATTAACTAATTTGCATTTTGAGAATTAATGGAATTGATTATATAATTAACGGCGCAATGCATCTTCTTTGTCGGGGTAAGCAAGGCCCACACGTGCACGCGCAGACCCGGGATAGATATACGCAGCAGGGAGCTACAGGGAAGGTTAACCCCTCAGGGTGCGGATATGATATGGCAATAGATGTATGAGAAAGGACTCAAGGTTAAACGGGGCCCGAAGCCGCACAGCCTGTAAAGGTGGAATTAGGTGTTGGAAGGGCTGCGATGCTCAAGGACCCTCTAAGCATTGGCTCTAACTATTAGGTTTTGATAGGTTGTAATGGCTTGTGCTAATATTGGCTCATGATAGATAAAGGTCAGTTATCTCATCTACGCATGCAGCATTTGTCGCCGCAGGATTGTTTTTTTTTAATCATTCCGTGCGGTCACTTTTTCAGGTGGCCGTTTGCTAATCAAGGCGAAAAGGGTGCAAGGAGCGGTATCACTGCGTATAAAATAAATTGAGGACTGTTTGCTTTGACCAGCGGGAAGAATGTCTTCTTCAACAGGCGGAGGAAAGAAGTGCATTGCCAGTGGTAGATGCCACCGAAGGCCTGTGGTGTGGCCTATAGCGTGGTCACAGAGATGGTGGACGATTTCCCCAGCTGATACCGCTTGATGACAGGAACACAAACACGGAAAGCCTGTAGGCAGAAGCTAGTGGCTTTTATACTCCGGAGGTGTTTTTAAAACCGGTCAGCCACCCGAGGCCTCAGTTTGTGGCCAATCTAATCTGGGTTTCTCTCACTTGCCAATCTCCACATCTACAATCGCTGGCTAAGTGTTGGCCCATTACAGGACATATTAGGCTAATCTCTAGGTGTTTCCATATGCAAGGACTTAAGTGCAGATGGATGCAAAGGACAGATTTAAATCTGCCGACCCTTGGAAAATGAGGAGGGTTGGCACACGGTGCCCAACATCTGTGATTTTCATCATATAATCCTTAGCTCTTGTTTTGTGGGATAATATGAAACATGACTGGCAAAAATATAATATCACAAGCAACAAAGCAACAAGCTTATGCTTCTTATCTTACTCAGCTCATTATCAGGTGAAAACTCCACAATGGACAGTGTGGGGAAACGAACAAGCTGCAGACAAGCTGCACCTGCATGATTAAGAATAACGTTGCCATCATTTTTTCTTCTTCTTTTTTGGGGGGAGAGGGAGTTATCACTTGGGGTTATAAGAAATGGTTCTAGATGCTATCTTACCCTCATCTGCATTTTTCATCTCATGCTGCACCTGTGAAACCCACTAGAGATCCAATGATTCCCTCCTCATCCCTACGAGCCATCTGTGAATTCGAATCACGTCGAGGGTTTTTTAGCCTACTTATGCCGCAATCCGACTCCCTTATTTGTCTTAATAAATAAACATACGCTGGATGTAGAAGAGTTAATAATTAAATAAATAAAGTCAGGAGTGGGCGTTTTATGTCCCCCGCCAATCCCCAGTTATGCATAAAAATGCCTCTGAAATGAAATCTTTATCAAAAGAGCCACAAGGTTCTCCTTACAAGGTGTTTTCAAATAAGCGGACGTTATTATCATGCCTCCGTTGGGAAATATGCATTTACTGCTAGGAGAGTGAGAGGCAATGGGGTAACTGTTAACAATGTTTTCCCTAGTTATTGTGCATAATTGCATGCTTGTGTTATTGCACCTTTTGTCTGCCGCTAATAAAGAGGAAGCCCATCAGCCGGTGCGCTATAATGCGAACAGCATCCTGCAGTGCAGTGGGTGCACTGTTTAAACAGAGATGCATGAGGACCACTGTAATGAGCACTGCAGGCCGGGGAAGCAGGGTAGTAATAGTCCCCAACGCAGGGACGTTTAAGCTCGAGGGAAATGCAGTTGAGAAGCATTCAGAGGCAATTTTTGCCTGTTAGGCTGTAAATATATGACTTTGTTTGTCTCAGTGCCACTGACCTATTAGTCCTTTAATACAGTGCGTGTACACGATTACGGTTACATTTATTTTGGAAGGATACGTTTTTTTTCCTACATTTTTTCACATAGTAAAGTTTCCTATTGTTCGATCGGCTTTGGTCATCCCGTGCGGATCCACAGTGGATTACTCCCCACATGCACCGCCGATGACCATTGACTTTGGTTCTGTCCGTGAACGCGCGCTCCGCGAGCCTCGGTCATTCCTCTGCACTCTGCGCGAACGGTCGCTACTCGGAAGCGGCGGCGCGCAGCCTGTAACCGATCGGCTCTCGGGTGTGAGGAGGATCAACCGAAAAAAAGGGCACGCGCCTCCGTCCGCTGTACACGCGACCAGCGTCACCGCCGGAATGTTGGATTGCTCCGTTTCGATTCCTCCCCATTAGAAGATGTTGCACCGGCGCTTTGCAGCCTTTGTAGCTCTCCATCAGCACTCCTGCGGTGCGCGCGTCTCCGGCCGCGTGCAATAGCGGCTCGACAGGACGGACGTGGCGAAGAAAAGTACGCGAGAAAAAAACAAGTGTCAAGTAGTCCGTTGGCGTCGGAGCGGAGGAGAAAGTTCAAGTTGAAGAAGGAGGATTATGCAGCGAGTGCCGCACTTACCTGGAGCAGCAACAACAAACGAATAAGAAGAAGAAAAAAAAGGTTTGTGATATTTCAAATGTATTCACGTGGATATGAACGCTCGCGCGCTCGTGTTGTTTACGCGCCATCTTTCTGAGACTGCAAACGCAAACATGTGCGCAATCAGTGACCAAAATAGGACGGGGGAGGGCAGGCGGAGCGGTGACATTGAGGTGTCTTTTGGATCGGAGGGAACGTTTGTGGTCCTCCCGTCACACCGGGGCTCCCGTTCGCGTGACTGCGGTGCCGCCGACCTGTCGTGAGCGTTTCTGTCCAGCTGCCTTGCTGAACAGTTGCTGGGCAGGGCGGGTGACCTTCGGTAATGGGTGGCTGTGGAGTTTTTTTGCGGTCGGGAAGGTTTTGCACACATCTGCGAGGCACGCGCGGGCGCTTTGGTGACAGGCGTGAGTGCGCGCGATGACGCTGGTGTTTTTGGTAGCTCTGATTCCTTCTGTGGAGGTCCCGGCGGCGTGTTAGTTCTAGGAGCCGTCGGGGCGAGGGGAAGATACCGGGCTATAACCTTTAGCTCCCGACGCAGCATCCACCTCGTCGCCTCGTCGCTCTGCGCACATGCGCGAGAAAGTGAGTTTGCCCTTCGAAACGAATATGAAGCATGTTTTTTGTCTGATGTATAGACAATAATATGCTCTCTCGCCATCGTGACAAAGATGGAGTTACGCTTTGGTTGGCTTGCTTGACCTTATCGTTGCCGATCGCCTCTGCGTCACCGCGACGCGTCCGCACGTGCTCACGTCCCTTTGCATTTACACGCATACGCATATTTTTACAAATGCCAATTACTAGCACACTAGACTTTTTTCTTCTTTATCGTATTAAGCGGTATATATATTTTTTTATACTGTCTGAGGAATATTTCACCTCCACTTGCTCACACGCTGCTATGTGTTTTATTTCATTTTATCGGGACACAGACAGGCTGACAGCCACAGCTGGCTCCCCTCGAGCTGCAGTGAGGACCACAAACAGCAGGAAGCCATAGTTCACTCAGGGACTGTGACTCTTAGTTAAGGTTCCAACGCCATATGCTTGCAATAACCTTTAGGATGCATCAGAGAAAAAAACACACACCTTTGAAGCCAGTTGTGTATTGTGAGTGCTGGCGTCAACGCACGAGGCCCACACACCAGCTGTAGAGCCCAGAGACTGGCAGTCGTCTGCACCTTATGACACGCAGAAACGCACGAGTGAGGCTTAGACGACCCGCTGAGATTCGCACTTCACTCTTAACTGCTCCCGTTTCCTCTCCGTGGCCCTTCCATCTCCTCCTCCCTTTAGCTCTGTTCAAGACTCCCCGCGCCTGTGTGATCTCTCGTGCTCTTTTGATCCCTCTCCCACTTTCCATCCCTCCATCTTCAGCTTTTTGACAGGGGCGTATAAAAAAGAGAGCGAAGCCCCCGCAACGCCGCTGCCGTACATCGGAGTATACCCGCGTGCGCACGGCGTACTTGAGCAACGGATGTTTTCGGGTCACAAGTACACGCTCCCCCGCCGTCGGTCTTTAACCTGCCAAGATTAATCATTCTGACCAGAGTGCTTGTGCGCCTGTGCATATGTGTAGCGAGCCGCGGCCTTAAGTGCTAATAGGAGCTCACGCTGGACAGCAGCAGGCCGCGTCAACCGCAATCTCCGGACAAGCCCTCAGGGTGTCCCATTTGGCAGTGACACACACAAAGGTTTAGACCGGACTCGAGGGTCTGAGCGCCATGGGTTCTCTTGAGTCCCCGTCCTTGTTGGACCTTCACGACCATCCGACAAGATTAACTCTGTGCCGTTGCCACGGGGATAATCTGTGCAGATTTACTTTCAGACAATTTTTGCTGGAGATTTTGTTTAGTCTGACCCACGAAGGATGAGACCCTCCCCGTTGATCCGTCTCCTTGCCCCGCTTGCGCTCCCCCCCCCTCCTCATCTATGTGGGTTACGTATTTATACATTTATACACACACTGCGACACCTGTGAGGCCTGGAGAGAGCAGCATCAATCTTCATTAGACTGAAACGAGGCTGGCCCTGTTGAATAAATGACCATCATTGAGAGAGAGAGAGAGAGAGAGAGAGAGTGTGTGGGTTTGTGTGTGTCTGTGTGCGTGCGTCTGTGTGCTGGTGTGGTTGCTGCTCTGACCCAGCTGACAGATGACTGCAGTGATTTCCAGGGTTCAGCAGATTAGGGGATTAAAGACTGAAGGCTTCACACAATAACCCTACTGCATGCGCACGCGCAAACAAACAAAAAAACACCCTGCCCGGGCCTGCGGGGCTTAGGTCAGTATCAAGAGGTCAGTGATGTCCAGTGTGACCCCCCCCACCAACCCGCCGGTTTGCATCCCTCATTGTGCAGACAGCACTGTCCACATTCACACACAAAAAGCATATAAGAATACTTCAAGGGTCCAATTTTAGTAATGCTATTTTCACAGTATAGGCACGACTCACGTTGGTGCCGCGCAGCCAGTTATTACATTTTGTCCTTCCAACCAATGCAGAACCCACTCAGTGTGGGATAATGAACCAGCACAGTGGGATGAATGTTTGTGAACCGGCCACCGCAATTCTGTCGCCGATTTCAGAGCCAAAAGTCCCTTTTGAAAGGCAAAATGGGCACCATTGTGTCGATTGTTTTCGATCCTGTCAGTGGTTGCTGTTTTGCAGCTCGTTAACTGATGTTGTCACAAAAAAAGCTTCTTATACAGTACGCCTCTCAGGTATACCTGCGAAGCCGTTAAGTGCCATTTGCAGGCTTTGTGCTATTCCAATATGTTGATTGGTCTGGTTTTTGGGAACAACTTTTGTGCTTCACAACTTTTTACAATTTTATTTCTACTGTCATTTACCTGGTCAATTCACGGAGGTCGGAAACGCTGAGCGCAGACAGAGCAGCCGCCCGCGGCATTATCACGCTTTAAAATGCTTTAAATCCATTTTGGATTGAGTCTTGAGGGGTTATGTTTAGATTTTTATTTTGCCACACATACGCTGGAGAGATTAAAGCACGCAATCATCCCCAGCAGATGTACACATCTGCAGCTTAAAAAAAATTGTTTATTTTCAATTTTTGGGGGGTTTGTTATTCAAGCCCTTTCCACAAGCAGGTCTCGAAGGATTCAGTGTTAAATAGAGTTGAGGGCATTTCTTATTTTATCTGGTGAAATCATTTTTGTCTGTGTGTGTGTGTGCGCACAAGGCGCTGTGACACAGTACATTAGGCCTTAACGTCTCATCATTTGCGACTGAACAGGGTAGGTGGTAATGGAAGCGGAAACAACTTCTTGTCACTGCTGATTAACTAAGAACACTGACCTTTTACAGAGAGGAGAGGTGGCCAAAAATGATGGCGAGGGGGGGGGGGGGGTGTATGTTTATGCTGCTGTAGTAATTGTCAGCGTCCGGCGGTAAATAGAAAATACTAGCTTAGCTCTATTACGGGCCGCTCTGTGCATCGTGCTGTCTCCTCTCAGCTATTTCACGAGCTCATGGCTTATTTTTTTCTTATTTTTTGAGTCCCCCCCCCCAAAAAAAGCAATCAACAAAGTGTCATGAACCCAGGCCGATAGCAGAAAAGCGTCAGCAGGGATGGTTTTGTTTGTGTACCGCTGTCCCGGTTTGGCCTCCCGCGGAGCAGCTTCTGGTTCTGGGACACAACGGCCATCTCAATTTCCCCCTCCCCACGTGGTGCACTGCTCACCAGCAGCCTCCACACCCCCCTGCTCCGGCTGTCTGGTCCACAGTTTGATTCATTGACGCTTCATTGTCCTCTCGGCTTCATATTTCAACGTTTCAACATTAATTGTGCTCCTTGGGGGCGCTTGTCAAGACAATATGGAGGGGCATGCTGTGGTTTCTACGAGAGGCTGAGATTACAAAGACTTGCTGATGAAGCAGCAAATTACATTAATCGCAGTGATTGATTAATTGGTGGGAAAACGGAAACCACAAGAAGAAAGGGTTGATGGTCTCCTTAATTTTTGAGATTTGTGATTCGGTTTATGATAAAAGTCAAATCAAAAAGATGTTTTGGGTTCAAGTAAATCTGTTTAGATTTAAATTGATTGACTTGGTCCATCAGATGTAACCAAAACAGTTAGTCATGAATATGCTGTACAACAACTTATGACAATCTATGGAGATATTAAAGGGCCGCCTCCCTGCAATCCTGTGATTTCTGGAGGAGAAGTGCAGGGGATTTTGTCTGGTTACTTTGTGGAAGTCTGCTGGTTACGCAAGATTTAATCAAGGTAAACACAGTGGATCATGGCGTGTAATGCACCGCCGCTACAATAGAGCCCTAGGTATCTCTTTATTGAAACAGCAATGCTCGAAATAGTCGCCAAGACACATATTAGTCGTGGAATTAGCCAGCGAGACTTAATGCGGGAACAATTTTGAATAGGCAACATAATTGTCTGACAATTTCGGGGCCAGCGTTTAGCAGACGCCGCCGCATCTCTGTGCACTCCTCCATCGGCCCCCAGCTGTCAGAGCTGTCCGTGTATTGGTGCTGTGGGTTTGCTGTTGGGTTTTAAGAAAATTTCTCCGCACACTTTCCGTGACATCAACGTGCTCGATGGTTGTCTTTCGAGGCGCTGTCGCTCAGACTGAACTGCCCGATGTGTGTGTGCGTGCGTGCGTGCGTGTGCATTCGCTGCGCTCCAGAGAAGGAGACGCTTGCAGAGAGCAGCCTTCATCTTGGATTACCATGCTCGTGGATCCTGTGGCGGTTCTTCTGTGTGGGGAGAGATGGCAGAGTGGGATGATATTTACTACATCTGTCTGACAGCTGACTGACTGGTTTTAACTCATCCACAGTGCACGCTGGATGCACTCTATTGTTACTTTACTGGTTACATTTAAGTCGGAGGCGAAGTAAAGTCTGGCTTGGCCAGGCGCTGCGAGGTCAACTGGGGCTGAATTTATAGAAACCGGTGAGAAAGACTAAAGACGGCTTGTATGATTAGAAAATGTAATATCGTTTCTCAAACCAAACTGTCAAACGTGTTCTGGAT